GCCATTATTGCGTACGACAATGTGCTCTAACTGATATCAAATTCTGTTAAATACTTGTCAAATAAATCTGTGTAATGCTATGGTCAGGACAGATAAGGTCTTGGATGTGTGTAATGTATTGTGAGGTGAAACGATGACGCTCATAAAGATAATTTTCTTAATATAAAAGGACATCAATATGCAGTTTGAAAACTCTCTCATGTCCAATGTTTTAATTCTCTGTGAATTAATGCTATTCCTTCACAAACTGGATCCTCGTCAAAAAGACATGCTATGTATGTTTGTGTCAGTAGGTCTAACAGACCAAATCGTGGAGTTTTGTTGAAGAGTGCTCCTACAGGGAAAGATTGTTGTCATTGCCTTGGTTAGCTGCTGAAAAAGCCTCTTTGAATAACTGGCGTCTCATTTGTTGCTAATATGGAGCCTAGGCAGAAGTTCAACTGAAGAGACTCGTTGTTTTTCATACATCCAGCTGTGACACAGGTAATCAGCTTTGAACCACACCTCCATCAAAGCCAATCAGCATCCAAAGCTCATCTGAAAAGGCCTCAGATACGCACCTGTTTGCTCCTGTGCGCAGGCGGCGGAGGCGCTGTGACTTCATTCAGATGACACTTTTCAACCCACCTCCAGCCCCTCCTCCACCATCGTAGCTAAAGCTTCATCAGAGTGTCATTCCTCCCGGACTCTTACTGCGTTCCCTGTCTCTTCTTAACCGGTGGTAGAAGACCGCAATGTTGAGCCTGGTTCTGCCAGAGGTTTTTTCCCAACTGTGAGTTTTTCCGCTCCACTGTCGCTTCATGCTTGCTCATAATGGACAGGTTCTCTCTACCTGTGTTATCCAAACTGGACCTCCATCTGCCAGGTCCTGGAGTAAGGTTCTAGAATCACCTCACGCAGTCCACTGGTTCTCACCATAAACCTCAGGATACCATATCGCTAACCATCAGTCTACAGACTGACAGACTTCATCTATCTCCACTCCACCACCAGTTTCAGGACTGAGGGAAACAGCCCTATTCTTTGCTCCTGTTCATGCATATCTATCAAAATTAAGTGCTATGTTTCCTGCAGAGGTCTGAGAGCCAAAGACAAAGTAATTGTATCAATAAATGTGTCCTAATTGTCTTTTCTCTTTGTGTGAGTTTTTCAGATTGAACTGACATTTCATTCTCACCAATACCAAGTACTGACTGAAATACTTAATAAAAGCTTAATGATAATGAGTTTTGATCAAATGTTCTACTTAAAATAACTTGTTTTTATCAAGAATGAGCTGACTAAGAATTCTGCTTTCAACGTTTTGTCAGCAGCAGAGTTATGCTTACAGACCTGTCTGTATGCTAAGCTAACTAGAGGATTCCACTGTTAACAAGCAGGTACTGCTTTTTCCGTCACTTCTGCTTCACACCGCAATGCTGAAATAGCTCTTGTTCAACAGTCTTGTAGTTTAAATTTATGTTTTTAAGAGGTTTGTCCAGTTACTGTGCTGCTGCTTCTTTTGCTTATTGCGGCTTTCCTTCATTTTATGGTACATTACTCCCATTTACTGGGCTGGACTATTTGTGTGCAAACCAATACTAGTTATGAGAGGAGAAATTATAGCATCCAGCCCTGTGGTAGCGGTAATACTGCATCCTTACTAAAATAATTCACAGCCGCCAATCTAATACTAATTTAAAAAGAAAAAATGTAACTGATGTATTAATTGTAACAACACAGAACCAGCCCAAAACATGCATTTAACAAAAGGTGAATCCACTTTACTTCCAAGTTGTACTTCAAATTAGGACTGGAAAACAGGCAAACAAATAAGATTAACACTCTGGCATCGAAGGGCTGCCAGCAAGCTCCCTTTAAGCCTCCTACCTGATTAGGTGACGAGCTGCACCTGTCAGGCCTAAGCCACCTTGCTCTCAGAGGCCACCTGTGGAGACTGAAGGAAGCAGCAGCCAAAAACAGAGGTGTAAACCCCCAGACCCCAGCATGAAGTCTGGAAAGCTGCAGATGCCGCCATTCTAAACTTTTTTAAATGTGTCGAGCATGCAGGTGACAAGTTTTGGCCAATTGTGTCAAATTGATTCCTTGGTTCACGGGGCTTTGAAGTTGCCATCACTAGGAAAGGCTGGGCAATTAGGAAACAGAACAAAATTTAATTAGACAGGCAGGTAGGCAAGAAAGGGATGCTGGCTATGTACTCACATGGGTCTTTTAAAAATCTGCCACTGATGTGATCACCTGTAGAGGCTTATAAAACTAGGAGACAAGATAAGCTGAGTATTCTGTTTGGGAGTGGGTGTGGTTCGCACAGGTGGGAGGAATGAGCACTCAGCTTGGCAGTGAGAAGCACAGCAGAATGTATGCAACGGTGATGAGCCAGGCCATAAATTAAGAAGAACAGATCATTTAAAAGGTGTCCTAATTCTCTAATATTTACCTACATTTTAATTTCTTTCTCATGGTGACCTTAATTTCACAGTGCAAATACGGAAAATATAAGAAAAAAGGAGCCAGAACAATATATTTGCTTTGCTTCTTCAATCTATTGTCTTCACATTTCCGTTCACATTTCCAAATATATACGACCTGTATTGTGTGAACTGCAGTCATACAACGCAAGTGTCCCGCATGCGCAGTAGAGGACGCAATGACATCACAGGCCAGCGTGCTCTGTGTTTACGGAAGTAAACATGGAGGGTAGTGCCGGAGAGCATCTAGAGATTTTTCCCAACCATAAAAACACAATCTATTCAAGATGGTTAAACATAAATACTGCTCTCCACCTCATCATCCGCCATGGTTATTGTTTTTCTTGCCACTTCTTCATAGCAAGGCCCAGAATAGTGACCTTTATCGGGTATTAATGGTGTTCAGGTCAGATGAATGTGACCTAACCGTTCAGACACAGGTCTCATTTGAAAAGCTCAGACTCATAACGGATTCAGGACCACATAGCCAAGTGGCCTGGATCGCATTGGAAAAAATCAGATTTGTGTTGTTCAGACAGCCATAAAAAGATCAGATACAGGTCGCTTATGGGCCAAAAAATCAGATTTGGGTCACTTCAGGCTGCAGTGTGAAAGTACTGACTATTTCTTTTACTGCTTGTATCATACAAATCTTCCGACTTAAGTGCAAGCACACTATTTACTCCACAGATTATAAAAAAGATTAAATACATCCAAATACTGAGACAATCAAAGAATGCAAACAGAAGGAAAAGCAAACTTAAAAAAAAAACATCTCTGGAAAGGAGGTAAGTCTTCAAGTTTAATTTAAAGTCATCCATTGTAATGCTCAACATATTTTAGTGAAAAATGTTATACAAATCAAACACAGAGGCCAAAGTGCTGTCAACAGTATATCCTCAGTAGAACCCATAACTTCAAATGTGGACATAAAACCAACACAACATTGACACCTCCAGTAAATCTTAATGCTTAAGAGAAAAGATATGTTTCTGAAAAAGATTAAACAATGACCAGAGTGAGACTATTCCGCGGCTCTTATCTAGGACAGGGAAACCACATCCTTGGCTCTTTTAGTCTGGAAGGAGAAAAAAGATCTGAAGACTAGATGTCTTGTTGTTCATCTGTCTATTATATGTAGACAGATTTCCATTGTAATCTAGAGCCAACTTATTTGGATTGCTTTTACCAGGAGTTTTTGTTTTGGCTTCTGAATTGTAAATTGGAATAAACAGTCTTGTATGTGCTGCCTTCAGCCGGTTTAAATCTCAGCTGCTGTTCTGCTAAAGGCAGCAAGATGACATGAACACATCAACTTCTGTCTTTGGTTCTGTCTTCCCTCCACTGTCTATTTCTTTTAGAATAGATGTTTTTAGTTCCCAAGTGTCTAAATAGTTTAGCAGCCCTTTATTTTAATTAGATTTTACATCCACACATCCCAAGTTGAGCTCTCTAATGTTACTAGACCAAAAACTCAGTTTTTGTTCCAGGGATGGGACTCTTGACCATTAGAGACAGTTTTATAAGTCATGGGTCCAAGGCTCCGGAAAAATCTCTCTCTTTGTGTGGTGTGCCTCATCTTTAATTTATTTTAAATGTCTTTAAATTAAATTGGAATTCATTTCCAGAGAGCATAACCACTGTTCAAACCTTTGCTTTTTCTTTGCCTTTTTTTTTCTTTTGCTAATTTATTTGTTCATATGTATTTTATTTTACTGGTTATTGTTTTTTTTTTTTTCATTACTCCTATCTTTCTTTTAATTTTATGTAAATATAAAACATGTAGATGATCATGATTTTGGTGAAAGTACAAAAAAGTAGGAGTAAGATAAGAACAGAACAGTTTACATATAAGCATTCTTCGAGTATCTGAGAGTAGGAAATCGATTCATTGCATCGGCATGAATCCGACACAGTCTTTGTGTCGGTGTAAACTAACAATAGAATGACTTCCTGCTCATAGCTGCTGATTAGAGAGAAGATGATGTTTTTTTTTAACCACATCTCTGAGATAAAAATAGTTGTGCTAAACAGCAGATGTAATTTATCTGTCAAAATCTGGTCTATAAAAGAAAATGACTACATGTATTGGTACACTTACCTACTCTAAGAAAAAAGGATGTTATGCTGAACAAAGAAGAGTCAATGGTTTTGTAATATGTGGTTTATACAGGATTCCAGATTCTTGAAAGTAAAGGAATGTCACTAATCGGGAATTATTTGTGAGTTAAGTTTGCAGGTTGATAAACTTGTTTTTCTGTTAATATAAAGTAGAAAATAAGTCTATTTATGACTGTGTTACCTATGAGCACTCCTAAGGCTTTGATGTATGGTAAGCCAATCAGAAGAATCGTGAGGGAGTGAAGGATGCAAAGCTGAAAGATGGCAGAGAAGGATGGATTTGCAATGCAAAAGAAATGGAAAACTTTATAGATAAGGAAGCCTGGCAGTGAACTGCTGTTTGAGTATCACTGGTTGAGTAACAACAGCCTGGAAACGTTTGTGTCCACCGAGAGCCATCCAGGTTACAATAGCGGCTTCTTATGCATCTGGCTTCTTCTTCCACTTGACATTAGGTAAAAACAGTCACCCAGAAGAGGTGGCTACATCAAGAAAACCGGATGAACAGAAGGATTTTATCCACTCTTCAGGTGACACACATTGTTTTTCTTCATTTGGTAAAGTAAAGGTAACGGTAAAGTTAAAGTTAAAGGTAAAGTTTTTTGGTCAGTTTAACTATGATCAAAACTTTATTCAATAATAATATTATTAGATTATTTATATAGCATGATTCATCTGTCAACACATGTGATCTTGTGGCACTTTACAGAGACAATTTAATTCAAAAGTTTTCTATAAATGGTAACCCAACTGACAGCATTGAGGCATTAAATTTGCAGGATTCGCTCCTCCTGGAGGAGCATGTGGGGACAGTATTTGCTCCACAGTGCCTGCATTCATTTTTTTTGGTTTAAATGATAAAAGTAAACTTGCCCTATAAGTTGCACTTTGCAGGAAAGAAAGTTGAGCAAATGTGCTCTGAGTGGGTTTGTATGTCAAAAGAGATGAAAGTGAATGCATATAGTATGTAATGGAGACCAGAAGTCCTATAACTTCCTGAAAAGGGATCATTGATTTGGTGTTCTGTATCTTTAAGTTAGACCATATAGTTGAGTTGTTTTTCTTTATCGTGGTTCTGTTTGGATGTTTTGCACATATTCCTGTGGAGCAGGACTGGCCATCCTGTCTGTAAAAAGAGAATGCAGACATAAATGTTGGTTATTTGTTTAACTTATTAGATTGACAAAATACATGTTTGATTATAGTACCTACCTCTTCCAGGTTTGGCTCCTTTGCAGGGCGTGGCAGCAAAAAGAGAGAAATGCTCCAGGTGCTGTTCAAATGCTTTTGAAGCAAACCACAGTAATCAGGGAGTAGGTTTGGCGTGTATTTGTTGTGTGATTTAAAAAAAAAATTTTATTGAACTTTTTATTGAACTTGATTTGTTTATGGGTACTTATTTGTATTTATGTAAATATTTTTGGGGTACACTCAAGGGTGTAGGTTTGAATCCAATTTTGGTCTGATGCAATTAGTCCTTTGGAAAAATATGCATCCTCTTTGTTTAAGGCTTAACGTAAACATAAGGGTGATTTCGTTCAAAGACAAAAGCAGCATTTTTTTTCCTATATTTATACACATTTTATAAAAAAGGAAAGTTTTAAGCCTAGTCTCAAAAGTAGACAGGGTGTCTGCATCACAGACTAAAACTGGTAGTTGGTTCCACAGGAGTGGAGCCTGTCATTTTACTTCAAGAAGATCTAGGAACCACAAGTACACCTGCAGATAGAAAGTGAAGAGAAACAATGAAATGATGCAGCTTGGCTAATTACAATTTATTGTGCATTTTCGCAATGAAGATGAAATAAGAAAATTCTAGAAACCTCTTTGATATTGGATTTAAGTGACAAGCCCTGATACAGATTAACACCAAGGTTTTTTA